GCTTGCAACTTGAGACTGAGTGGGAATTTGTTCAGGTCAAGTGGTGACAGCCTTAAGCCATAGATCTGACTTTGTTGTCCTAAAGCGCTAGACGCAAGGACTTCGGATACAGAGACGACGGCGGCAGAAGTCGACTAGCGGAGACGGCAGCAGAGACGGCGGAGGCAGTGAGCAAACAGCAAGGGCAGATAAAAGAGCTGGTCCCAACGACAAGTCAGATACATTGCAGATAGAGAAAGACAGAAATAACTACTCACCTGGTCCCAACGACAAGAGGTCAAGATGAGGGACCAGGTGTAAACTACCTAGCTTATATACCCAGTTAGAGGTCTGAGATATGAGTCGTGAACGAATAGGAAAGACAATAAGGAAACAATAAGGAAACAATAGTAGTCAAGTATAAGACAATAGCGAGTCCGGGATGAGTAACTAGGAGATGAGAGAAGACAATAAGAACAATAGAATGAATGGGTCGTGAAGAAGGTGTAAAAGACAATAGTGTGAGAAGGAAATATGTGGGAAGGGGAAACGGGCGTCTGGTAGGCGTCAAAGAAACAAGTAAGCGCTGAAAGGGAAATAGGCGCTGAGAAAGGAAAAGATAGGGGGAAAAGCGGCACTTCATGACATTTGTGCTATATCCTGTAAGGGTTCATCAATTTTCCTCATACTTGGAGGATATGGACCCCTACTCACCCATTTATAACCTCCCCACATTACCTACACTGATGGGAAACCCAACGTTATAGTGGACAAAGCATGTATGACGTATTTCCCACAGTCGTATCCTTGGTGCTTAATGCCCAATTCAGTCAATTCCCTTCATATCCTGTGTTCCCCTCCACACAGACACCTCCCCAATCAATACCTACCTCCACTTGACATGCAGTATACTCCAACACTCTGATTTTGTCTCAACCAGGATACTTGTTGACTGCATTGACTATCTGCAATCCTTCTAGCTGCTTACAACACATGTCCGTCTTGCCTGCAATGATTCCACCAATTGTTTCCTTGTTATTTCACTGGACTACTTGTACTATACATCACTTACACGAACTGTATAACATTTTACAATACTAGATATGTTCTGCATTACAATTCTAAATACTATATAAGCTGTAGTTAGACAAAGATGCACTTAGTTCTGTTTTACTGTATAATCTTGTCTACAGTCGAGTCTCTCAAGCTACAGCAAGCCTCCCAGTGCTGTGTTCCACTTTACAAGTCTCCTTCTAACATTCTTTGTTGTTCTAGGTCTCTGGTAGAGCCTTCTACAATTGCAATTTGAGCCACATAGATAATAAAGGTCACCAACTTTCCAGTCTGTGTTACTTCCGGGAGGATTTAACCAGACAAACCACCTTTGATTGGGGGGAGATTTCAGGTGTCTCATTGCACTGTTGAGAAATTCATATGTTTGAACCAGTTGGGATTGCTGCATTCGGGTTAGTGATTTCTATCTTTCCGTGTTTGGTTTAACAACACTTTTGGTCCCGGCTTGACTTAGAAAAGAGGCCCGTTACATATCCTGCAGAAGCATTGAAAGTTTTCATTGCAAGAAACCTGTGATTATAAGGATATGTCTTGATGCTCAGCTTCCAGTCAACCATTCAATAAGCCACCAAAAGCAACCCACAACCCACACTGTCCACTGATCGTCTTATATTGGACCAATGTGCTTACAAAGACAAGTGTAGCAGCATTGCTGACTGGTTAACGGTTGGGTTCATATGGCCCGAATTTTCATAAATGAATCTACCTGACCCACAAAATAATACCTTATGCTAGATCTTTTGTCTGTGCATCAAACCATCCTGTACAATGGCTATTGACAAGATGAGAGGCTTGAAGCAGAAATCAAGAATTGCAAGGAATTACAGTGATCATTACGAGGTCAAGGAGGTGATGAACGAATGAGGGTAAAATAGGAGCAACAATTGGCGAATTTGGTTTGCTGTTATCTGTCAATAGCTCCTGGGTCATCACAGTGAAATGAGAGTGCATGTTCCTCCATGGTCCTTGTCCACCAGCTATGCTGGCGGTTCGAGCTGTGCAGGGGGTCAAGCTATAGGCCATGGAGCAACTCAGGTGTAAAAATTCACAAAACATCAAAAGTCTGATTGAATAACGGAAAAGCTCCGAAATCAGAAGAACCGGTGTGGGTGTGACCGCCAATGAAGGAGACAGCACAAAGGAAAATGGCATATATCAGATCCTTCCAGTATGAGAGTCTTACTGTCTTGATTTTCAACTTTCAAGGGGGTCGACGCCGGCGCTGAACTAGACCCGGTTTCTCCTCTCCCTCACCTCAGACGCACATGTGGCGGGGAACTAAACTCATATGAGTTGAGTTTTCCTATCGTGAATCCTCACATCCACACTACTCGACGTGTTCTTAACCTGATGTAAACTCCAATTTCTGCTATATCTGTTGTTGTAGTTTGGATCGGTACCAGGTTGTGAGTCAATCAAAGGACAAACCTCGGTCGTGGATAACTCCCGTCCTATTGAGTTTCGCTGACACTGTACAACTCATAAGATCAAACTAGGCACCATAGTTAATAGTCGCGCTCGTAGTATCAATCTGTATAGTAAGATAATTCCAAGTACCTATCGATTCTGAGATCGGAGAATGGCTGTATTCACTGTCCTATGGCCTGAGCAAGAGGTTTGTGAGTCGTCATCAGACAGATATCTACCCTTGTCGTCGTCACTGTGTCTTCCCATCCTCAATAAATGTTTCCGTTAGTCCTGGGCGATCAATCTTGAATTTTTGCACACAAATACAGATCTTAACCCTGGTTTCGAGTTCAGAACTTCATGTGTTTTTGCCATTTCCGTCAAGCAGGGTTATCAGAGAAGAATTCCACCCAGCTAGGAGATCCGTCGTGATGTCTATGAAACGAGAGGTAAGTCCATACAGGATACCACTTAGATGAACAAATCCTGTTCTCGGCTAGCAGAAGTGCCACAGATAGGGTAAGACGGAGATGTGTTGGCCCGTGATGGGGTTTTGCTGAATATTGGGTTGATTGTGCCCACTATTAGATGGGTTATGTTCCATTAGTTGAGTTTTCTAGCTTTTGAAGTAGACAAGGGAAAGGGAAAAGGGAAATAGATGGGGTAGAGAATGAGAGGACGTAGTGTCAGGACAAAATGCCTAGGCACCTGGAAGTACATCTCGGTGGTAGTAGGAATGAGTCCAAGGACACTCATCAATATCTTGTCCTCGGTGTTTACCTGTCAGAACCCTCTTTTGACCGCTCTCTTTGATTCCAGACAAAATAAGCTCACCTTCATCCTTCTCAGCTTTTACCGCCGCATCACGCTGATCACGGCTGATTAACACATGAATTGCAAATACTCATGATAACAATGCGTTCTACACGCTTTCCTTGTGATCGAACGATCTTGGACCTTGATGGACCTACAAATTCCGTACCTGTGACATATCCTCGACTTCCGATGGCCAGAAATTGCGGAAGTCTCTGGAAGTACGAGGTTTCGGCTTGGCTGTTCAGTTATGACCAACGTCCGACCAGCCGATCTAGCTTCTAAACTATAACACACACACAACGCTGAGAAATATTCAAGCTACATGCAAATCGTTGTTCGGACCAGCTCGTAGATAAATAATCTATAGTATAAGATCAAGCATTGATGAAGAGAAGGAGAAAGAGTGGAAACGAAGATACTGCTTTGTATACATGTTAAATATACACGGAGAGGGAGAGGATAACAATAAGCGCGGAGGGGATATACAATTGAAATTCGGGAAGTGTACAGCTTAGAGCTCTAGTCAGCTCCTGTTGGCGACTGGGAGGGGAGACATTACAGGGAGACCAAGTTATCATCAGATTAAAAGCGCTCGATTATGGCTGAGACCATCTTGACTCAAGGATTGGGCTTCAATGTCTTCGTCATCGAGTCTTTGCAGGAGGGGCCTCGACTGATGACGCTGATGGAGGAGTTTCGTGACCGTGCTGAGTTATGCATCCTCTGAGTTTTGAAGAAACCACTCAAGAAATTTCGGAAAATAGAAGTTACGAATCCTCAGATCCGTTGATGACATCGATTTGACTTACATGGAAGGAGATATAACAGTGGACTCTAATAGATAAACCCTTACGTTTTCCTCGACACGCGCGTCCAGGTCAAGGCTTTGGAGATCTAAGGCTTCCCTCTCCCTCTCGAACTGTCGATTCGCGAGTTGGATTGGTATGGGGGAGTGAAGTTGGTGGCAGCAGGAGGCCGGTAAAGTTACACCCGTAATATGTGTTTCCGTGTAGATGCTGGCACTGACAGTTGTTGATAAAAGTGGTTGGGGAGAAAGATCGCGGGTGTCCGGTAGCGTTATGGCTGAAAGGCATATCGTTGAAGTTTGTGGTACCGCCACCGTTGGTGGACGACCCAAGCTGCGGCATCGGCATGATATTTTGAGAAGGTTGAGAGATGAGCACAACTTATGTAGGGGCTGGGGCTAGAATGGTAGGGCGAGAAAGCGAATGATAATTGCGAGTTGGGGAATTGGGCTTAGGGAAGCGGAACGATATATAGGGGAAAGAGGTTTGCTACTGATAACAAACAGAAACAGACAAGGAGCAAGAGACACAAATAGCCCAGCTCGATGCCCGTTACCCCGGCATCAAGCCTGGTGACTGAGTACGTGGATAACTTGATAGTTGGCCTATGAAGAGTAGTAGAGCGTATTCGGTGGGTGAAACCAGCGAAACTTGTTCTCGTAATACGACAGGTTTTCTGATGGTAGTTCAATACAAACCTCCCACACCCTCACTGTTGATACAACTCGACGGTTTGAGTAGCGACCCGACGAACGGCGCTGTACACTGAACAGACACACCGCACCCTACGTAATTCGGCTTTCGGTTGACAGCCTCACGAAAGGTTGCCGCCGGTCGGACATTCTCTGAGCACAGGCTACTACAATGCATCCTCTAAACACATTGATCTCTTGGCCCTGATTATGTTTCAATGTTCATGGCGCTATAGCCAAGTGGTTACGGCGACAGATTAGAATTATCAGTAGCACGCACAGTCAATCTGTTCCTCTTTGAGGGCGCAGGTTCGAATCCTGCTGGCGTCGATCGGCGATTTTGTACGCAGACCCATCTTGCGTTTTCCGGCCTTTTTCCCGTTCCTCCTGGATGAGTACCATATAAGGTACCCGGTTTCGTCCCAAGGCAGAACTTACAAACTTCAGTTGAACCTTCAGAGTTGTTCCCCGTTGCTCAGTAGCCATCTGAATGCTACGCTGGAAATCCGGAGCTTTCGCACTGTCTGATATTCAGAATACGACGACGACGACCCTTTATCTTCTACAATGACCGGCAGTTCTACTTACCTCCGACGTGCAGCCTCCGTGGAGGGTATCTGAATGTCTCAAAATCACGCATTACACACATCAAAGATAAATGTCCATCTTTTTGCTCGCTTACACGCTGGCCGCTGTAGAGTTAAAGTCTTAAGAACCACTTAACTTTAACTTCCTTGCATGGTATTGCCTACAAGTGTATCTTTCGATCTAGGATTTATAGATTTAGGTCGAACCCACAGAGCTCGGACTTGAATGTTGCCCCGTCCCTTCAAATGTAAGCTGGAAGTTCGGAGCTCCCTCCCATCGTCGGACATTTGTAATTTGACGACTGACTCGCGGTTCTACCTCCTAAATCCAAATCGATGTCCAGCCTTGGCCTTCGCGAATATCTCATTGTCGCAAGGTGAATGAGCATCTTTTGGCTCGGTTACAACGCTGAGAACCGTAAATCGTAAATCGTAAATCTAGAGCTTCAAAAAGTCAACTAAAACCTGAACCCAAACTCCCTTGCATAGCATTGTCTTCACGCACAGTTTAGTGTTGAAGGCGCTATAGCCAAGTGGTTACGGCGACAGATTCGAATCTCGTAAAAGCCAATAATTGTAATCTGTTCCTCTTTGAGGGCGCAGGTTCAAATCCTGCTGGCGTCGATGTGCATCATTGCTCCATGAATTTTTGTGTTGTTCTCAATTTTATGTGTGGCCGGAAGATTGGAGTATCTGGAGGTTGCAAATCCGAATGGGGAGGTCCTTAGTCGCGATCAGAGTCCCACTAGAAAAAGGGTGTATTAATTCTTTTGTTTACCAGCGCCAAACAGATGATAGTCTAATAGGGGTTTGTTCGCACTCATTCATGTCCTTGACGTTACCAACCCGAGCTCCTCGAAAAAAAAAAAAAGAACCCAGTCACCGCATCCCAAACATCGAACGATCAAGGTTGAACGACTCTGAACTCCAAAGCTTGAGAATACGCTATACCGAATTCGAGTTCCGACCCCTCATGTAACTCTGCACTGAAGCTACCCAAGCCTCTGTTTTTATCTGCTTTCACCCGTTACTTGTATGTACAGAGTCTCGGATACAAAGCCTTAGCCCGGGCCTTCCGTCGGGAGATTGAAAGTGAAGGTACACCCTGTCATTCGACGTTGGGACTTATTAGCACCTTTCTGTTATATACGGTGTTCCCGGTTCCATTGCTTTTCATAGTCGCGATTTCTTGCTGGGCGCTACGGATAACGGATTACCGCTCTAGCGCTCTAGCGGAATGAAACAATGAACACCAAACTCCAACCGCTCAGCCGGGTAAGCTCGGGACTGCGTCAACGCCGGGTCCTCCCGGTGTCGGGCTGAACCAATAGCAACTCCATCTAATTTTCTACAGGGTGCCCGGTGTGCACACTGCAATCTCAACGCTAGGAAATTACCTGATTCACTTGCTCTCTCTTCCCTCTTCACTCCGGTTCGCTCAGCGCTGGCCGGTGGACTGTAACATCGTAAGATCCATTCTACACTAACAAACAGGTTTCGTCGAATCGTCTAACAGGGAAGGCAGTGGGTTCGTCAGAGGGTGTGTTGAAAGAGAATCAAGATTCTAACGTTGAAATCTCCTGAAGGCTAGGCTTTTGAAGTTCACATGGGGTAAAAGCGAACCCCACAATCCGAGAGCCCAAGTCCCGATAAGTTGGACACATGGTCTATATCGTCGAATGTCTCGATCAAGTTACTTAGTCTGTTCCCTCCAGCATTTCCCCTCCAGATGAGTACTAGCAAGAGCATCCTGGAAGTTACGAGCCCTGTCCTCGGTCATGAATTAACCAAAGAGGCGAGAACAGACGGGTCCAGTCTACTACACAACCAGCACCGTGAACAAGTGGAAAGCTTACCTGCTGGGGGGAGAAAAAACCGAGCATCGCAGTCGGTGATCGCATTCCTCTTTATCCGTCAAGGTTAGCTATCACGCCCCAGAACCAAGGCGCTATAGCCAAGTGGTTACGGCGACAGATTCGAATCGTGCATAATTCGCATGGCTGCAATCTGTTCCTCTTTGAGGGCGCAGGTTCAAATCCTGCTGGCGTCGATGCGGTTCTCAGAATGGAAATTTTTGGTTTTGGTTCTCGGTGTTTTCAAAGTAACAATAGACGTGATGTATTGCTTTCAAGTAGCGCTACGACTGTATTATCGAAGCCATGGGCCCATGTCGAGGGGTTCGAATCTGAAATCTTACACCTTTCGGGTGTCTGTGCCTGGTATTTCCATAGCCGGGATCGCTAGGAACTGACGAAGGTGTACATAACAGCCAAAAGGTATAGGCAGGCAATTTAACTGGGGAGGTCGCCTTGAACGCTTGAGAGTCTCGGAAAACAGACCACGACGAGGATGAAATAGGAACAGGAGCCGGACAACTCCGGCTTACACGACGGCCTTCGACGGTTGGCGCGAACGACCAACCGAACAGGCGCGTTATTCATCCATAAAAATTGCGTGCTTTCATTTCCATCTGACATGCGTGCGAGACAATAGTACAAAAATAATTCAACGGTTTCACGATTCGCGCTTGTACACCCCAACAACCCTAAAACAGAAAGCTCCCTCCCTATGACGGCTTGTTCGCCTCCGTCTGTGCCTTGCCCTTCTCTTGCTGAACGTTACCTACACAACCCCGAACCCATCAGTACACATGCAACTTTCCCTAGAATGTGGAAACGACTCACCAGAAGCCTGCTGGCTCTTATCGCCAGTAACAGCACCGACGACAGAGTCCTTGTAGCCCTCTACACGGTCAGCTGCGCCTTCAGCATAGCCTTTGGCTTGGGCGGCCTTATACTCGGCCTCGCCCTGGGCGTGTTCTTCTTTGCCCGACGTCTGCCACGATTCGAGGCCCGTAGCGTTGCCGATCTATGTAAGAGAACGATAAAAGCCGTAGTAAGAGAGGAGGGATAGACGGTGACGGTGCACGATGAGAGACGATGGGAGGGGTTGGCGAAACGTAGATGGGTTGCGGACAAGAAGGAAGAGCAAGAAAGGAGAAACGGGAGGAGACGATGAGCGCGACGCCAACAGCGATGACGACGAGAACACACGTACAGCTTCGACAATCGTTCCCTTGGTAGAGTGGAATTGACCGGTGGTCTTGCTGTAAAGGGCACGAAGATCGTCAGCATCGCGTTCATCGATGGCAACGACGACGACGAAAATAACCTACTTGGGCTCGTTGGAAGACATGATGATGAGAAAAAGTGTGTTGATGAAAGTAAGAGTAGAGTTCTCTGAAGGCGTTGAGTGTGAACGGCGGGGTTTATATACCCTCCAAGACTCTGTTTATAGCATGTTTGGCTGTTCGGAGGAGGGATCGACATGACGTCAAGGATGACGCTCTGGAGAGATTAGGGCGCAGGGGAAATCTGGGAAAGTCTCATCGGGGAAAGATCTGAATGTAAGTTCGGACGAGATCTCGATACAGATTGAATTTTAGGCGCTGGGAATGGTGTGAATGCCGGAACCCGGTTTGTAGCCGGAAAGAAAGCCGGTGCCGGAGTGGACCTACGAATGGGACCCACTTGGCCCTCTATGGATCCTTCGCTGCCGTATCCTTCTCCTCTCGAGCCCTTGCCTTCATCTCTCGGTATCGTTTTATCGCCTTCTCCCTCTCTTCTTCCATCATGACCTTCTGTGCCATCGACACTACTCCTCCACTCTTCCCAACCCCACCACCGGTACGACCCAACACTTTCTCTGCCCCTCGTAACCTCGGCATCTCCGGGGGTGCTTGGGCAATATCGTTCAGTCGTTTTGGTGCAGACGTGGAGACCGTTTGGAATTCTTTTGCTTTCGATGCGTGTTTGTCGGGTAAGGACGGGGGTTCCAAATCATCAGTATCTTCAGTTTTCTTCGCCGATTTGCCTTTCTTCGCTGCCTTCTCCACCTCAGCCTGCTTCTTCGCACTCCTGTCAACAGCCAGTGACGTCTTCACCGCATCCCGAACGAGCGGACGCATGTTCTGCTCTACTCGTCTATAAAACATTATCAGTGCCGCAAGCTCAAACCAAAAGGACAATCACGCACTTGTTATAATGTTCCAACGATTCTCCCGGTAATATCCCTCCCACAGCCCCCTTCTCCACTTCTGCGTCCCTAGCGCCCTTCGCCTTCGTCTTTTTTCGCTTCTTTCCTTCCCTCCCCTCACCGTTACCACCAGTATCCTCATCCCCATCCCCACCCTCCCTTTTCCGCTTCCTATAATCCTCCCGAATCTTCAACGCGTTCAAAACTCGAGCGGCTGACTTTGGTACTGCTTCTTCCTTCAGATGTGTCCCCGATAACTGTGATTTCGAAGGTGCGAGGTCGTGCCCTCTACGAGAAGGACAGAATAAAAGGTTAGCGGTTTGATCTACAAGGTGAAGAGCAGGACAAGATATAGCTATATAGTAGTAGACAAGGTGATAGATTCCAAGCGAAACCAGAACCGGTCAACAAAGAGACGAAAGACACACCTCTCAGCCCTCTCCTTTTCCCTAACCGACCTCTTTGCTCGTTTATGCGGCATCTCTTCTCCTCGTAGCTTGTAAGTGATGGTATGTGTCGCAAGATGATGGAGATGCTAGCCACAGTCGTGGTAGCTATCGCCCAGCCCTAGGAAGGAAAGAAAAAACTTGTAGTCGGGAGTTTTGGTAGGTTGGTGGTGGTGGTGGTGGTTACGATTCAACACCTTCGCCGCCTCGTGCCCCCCATCAACGGAAAAATTTCATACCGTGGGACTTTCCTTCGTCCGGG